ATCTCTCCCCATTTCCCATCACCAGCCACCAAGTTGTCAGGCCCTGCTTCCTGTGTCTCGGTGGGCCACCACATGATAGCACTGTAATGCCACTTCCTGGCATAGCAGGCGGTGGAAGAGTCGGGGAGGAAATATCACTCTGAGCATGAGTCTTGTTTCCTTGTGTTCTTGACCCTGAAAATCAGAACTAGTCAAACTGGACAGTTTCCTCTAAGGATGGAAAACAAGCTCCTTGATTGTGGATGGATACAGTGTTGCCTTTTGAAGGAATCTGACACCTGTCACTGCAGACCTGAGACAAGAGGGCTTGTTGCTGTGGGTGACCTTTAGTGACCTATGCATTTTGCAGATGGCTCTGCAGCACGTGATTACTGTTCCTTCTCTCGGAGTCACTAATTGGATCCGCATGGTTCCATGTGACAGGGCTGTGAGGTGCAGCGGGGCCTGCCAGGAGAGCTCGTGAAGACTGGGGCTGCCTTAAGATTCTCTGAGTGCGCTTTGCATACTTGCTACAATTTATTCTTTAAAAAAAACAAACAAACAATTGTAGGTGACAAGATTGCTTGTATAATAATTATTTAGTCTGTCTGGAAGTTGGACCTCAGCAATTTTGATACCTAGGTAATTTTAGGGGGAAAAAACCCAACCCCCCCACCCCACCCCCCCAACGAAATGCAAAATGTATCCCACTCATTTCCGTTTGCTTAGTTAATTGGCCTGAACTCCTGGTGTGGTGCTGTGTAGGGTAGCTACTAGACGGCGAGCCACCAGCTGCTCCTTGGAAACCCTGTATAGGGATGCTTTAGGTCAGAGTCACCTCGATGGCACTTAACCAATAACAACAGCTAACTGACCCAGTTTTGGTTGTGTTGTTGTTAAGTGCCGTTGAGTCAGTTTTAACTCTTAGTGACCCTCTATAGGGTTTCTGAGGAGCATCCGGTGAGTTTGAACTACCGACCTTGAGGTTCAAACCGACCTTGAGGTCTAGTGCTTATCCTATGGTGCTACACCAAGACTCCAATTTTGGTGGTGGTGGTGGTTGTTAAGTGCCGTCGAGTTGGTTCCAATCCATGGCGACCCTATATAGGGTTTCTGAGGAGCAACTGGTATGCTTGAACTGCCGACCTTGCAGTTGGTTAAGTATTGTTAAATTACATGTGTGTATGTGTGAAAGAGAGTAAAGAATATATTGCACACAGGAAGTTTTCCTCCATCATATTTTTAGATGCTGCTGGATTCCTTCCTGATTCAGTGGTGAGTGAGTGTCAGCAGGACTAATTGGGATTGGTCAGTTTTTGCCATCCTACTGGCTATAAAATGAGGCCTCTCAGAAGCAGAGGGGGTGGTCACACTGCTATCAAGGAAGAAGAGCTACAAGTAGAATGCAGTCTTTGGACTCCCAGATCCCTACACATGGAACCTCCTAATCCAGGGACAGAAAGCTGGGACACTGGAGGAGGTGGCGGCAGAGGCCCACACAGAGCAATGGGCTTCCCAGCACCCCCAGAGTAGTAAAGCTGAGTGACTTGGAGCTGGAGACTCAGCTTGTGGAGTGAGGTGCCTCCAGGCACTTGGTTGAGGAGCTAAGGTTTGCTGACTCATAGCGCTAGATGCCTTCGCCTTGAGGCTCATGTGGAGCGCAGTGCCCTTTGGGCCTTATCAGTAGTCCTGAAAGAGTCTGCGACACTGCCTGAATAGGGCAGCGGCCAGGCCAAGGGGCCCAGGCCAGAGAGAGGCCTGTCTGTGGAGGCCATCCTAACTACAAGAACCATGCTTGAGTCTCCCTGAGCCGGGGCTGTAACCTGTTACCATCCCTAATGAACCCCAGCTGTGAGGGTGGTGTCAGTTCCTTGTGGTCACAGTAATGATCATTGAACGCAGCAGAGTAGACAGTGCTGTGGGAGCCATGTTTACAAATGTGAGAAGAAATATCACCAAGTAGTGGGGGCTTACGGTGAGCCAGGGAAGGGTTCATACAGGAGGTGACATTTGAGCTGGGTTTGTAATGGTTGTCTGAAATGTTCTTGCCATGCAAAAGGGACACAGCCTATGTAAGAACATAAAGGGACAGGTTCATTGTCCCATGGATTGGGTGTAAAAGAGGTATTGAATTATATAATAGTATTGCACTCATACGAGTCCTGGCATGGTGCTATGGGATAAGCCCTGGACTGCTAACCGCATGGTCAGTGGTTCAGATTCACCAGATGCTCCTTGGAAACCCTATACAGCATTGCTGTGAGTTGAAACCTACTTGATGTTTTGAAACCTCCTTGAGTTGAAACCTAAGTGCACTTGATGGTACTTAGAAGCTTGGTGGCATTGTAGGCTAAGCACTGGACTGCTAACCACAAGGTCAACAGTTCAAACCCAATTACCACTCCTTAGGAGATAGATGAAGCTTTCTGCTCCTGTAAATCTTTACAGCCTCGGAAACTCCAGTGCATACAGGGTCACTATGAGTTGGAATTGACTCAGTGGCACTGGGTTTGGTTTTTGGTTTATTCACCTAGAGAGGAGTTCTGGTGGCACAGAGGGCGAAGTGTTGGACTGGTAACCATGAGGTCTTTGGTGTGAACCCACCAGTTGCTCCATAGGAGAAAGATGAGGTGGTCTGTTTCTATAGAGATTGACAGCCTTGGAAACCCTTATCAAGTTCCTATGAACCCGAATCTGACTTGATGCCGGTGGATTTGGTTTTTTGGTTTTAGTATTCATCAAACGGAATTATTGACAGCTTTTTTTTTTTTTTTTTTGTCATCAGGTTTGTTGTTGTTGTTGTTGTTGTTAAGTGCCATCGAGTCGGGTCCGACCCATAACGACCCTGTACAGGATTTCCAAGGGT